GCTAGGACGCTCTTGCCTCCCTGGGTGTGTGTGGGCATCACACGTGCTTGCCCGTGTGTCACGGGCTATGGGTCTGGCAATACTGGAACCACCCCAGCAGTGACACCTGTCTGCACGTGAACCGGCCCGGGAGCTGCTAGGAGGCCCAGGCTGCAAGGTTCTGCCCTGGCTGTGCCCCCATCAAGCTGGCGACCGTGGAAAGGTGATGTCACTCTGAGCCTCAGCTTCCTTATCTGTGAAATGGGGTTGTCCTAGTTACTTCACGGTGAGCGTGAGACTCCGGGGAGCGGTTGCACGTGACGCTCACATGGGTGCCCGGCACCCGGGGCTCCCGGGTTGGCCCCTGACCACCAGCCGCCTGTCCACGTGCAAGGAGTCCTGACCGGTCCCAGGTGGCATGGACTCGCGCGCCTCCAGGGGCCCAGGGCAGGATCCACCTCCACCGTCTGTTTTAGGGACAGGGACGCTGAGGCACAGCCAGGCACGTGACTTGGCGGAAGCGCTGGCCATCACCACAGAGACCCCCAGAGAGGGTGGAGGGAGACCCTGAAGCGTCTGAGCTGCCTCGAGGCCGGCTCGCACGGAGGGTGCAGCGCTCAGCACAGAGCGATGCTCGGGGACAGTCCTGCTCCTCCTACCGCTGTCACTGTTGATGTTTTAGGGGTGGATGGAGAGACAGACAGGAGCGACCGCAGAGAAGGGGCAGAGTCGGGGGCAGGGGGACCTGCACAACTGGCCTCTGCTGGAGCAGGGGCAGCCCCGACAAGGGGAGCAGGCCGAGGGGTGAGGAGCCCCGCTCCCCCGGCCCCACGGGAGGAGCCCAGGGGCCGGGCTGGCCCGGGAGGAGGGCAAGACCCCACATCACGGTGGGCTTAGCCTGCTAGTGCCCAGTCCAGGCCTGGGGCCACAGCCGGAGCCTCGGCACCCTCTTCTGTGCACAGGGGCTGGATGGCGCCTCCCCTGGACACAGTCACCAAGGCTCGGTGGACGCAAAGTGTCCGCACAGTGAGTGAGCAACTATCCAAAGATGCAAGTGTATGCCTGCTGGAATCTGGGCCCTCCCTGAACTTGGGGTGGGGGATCTGGTCCTCTTGCAAAGGATCTGTGTAGCTACAGTACTCACGCTTGTCCAAGAGAGGAGGCGCTCCTGTAAGCAGCGCTATGAGCCCCCCGGGGGCCGCGTGAGAGGGCGGGGCCCGTGGAGAGACTGCAGGCAGTGGACACGGGGGTCTCCATCTGCACTTAGCCGAGCACTCGACCTGCTGGGTTTCCGGCTGAGTACGCGTCACCTGGGCATGCGTTACCTGGAAAGGCATTACCTGGACAGGTGTCACCTGGACATGCATCACGTGATAGAAAGGAGCCGTATAACAGGCTGCTGTGGGGCGGGGTGGTATTACCCCCCAGTGAGGAAACTGAGGCCCAGGGAGGTGAACGACTTGCCCGGGTCACATAGAGGGTAGAGGCAGGTCGGGGATCCCCGCTCAGGCTGTCGGCTTGGACACCCACAAGTCGAGCACTCTGCCCAGTGTAGGTGGCCAGATGCACAGGGTCATCGACGAGGCTGACCCATTCGCTCTTCCTCCCACCTGCTCCTTCTGGGGGCTCAGCCCCAGCAGAGACTTTCCAGTCTGGGTATCCAGGGTTGGAGGGGTGGGGTACCCCTGGGGCCTGTCTGGGGGTCCTAAAGAGCAGAGCTCAGGCCTCTCTCCCCATCTGTACCCCAGCCACTCAGGCCCAGAGGTAGCAGCCTAGCTCCTGACCCCTGCAGGCGGCTCCCCCATCCTAGCTCCACTGCAGCCCCCCAGGCCCACCAGACCTTGGCTTCCTGGAACCCCTAGGGCCCACTGCTGCTCTCGGCACTCCCAGCAAACACAGAGCAGCCTCCTGGGGAGACCTGGCCCACAGAGCCCCTACCACAGCCTCGGTTCCTTCCACCCCCAGCTTCAACTTCCCCAAAGCACCGGAGGCTGCAGACTTCACCCCCACCTCCCTCTACCTCCAGCCCCTTCCTTGGACCCTCCTCACATTCCAGGAGAGTGGAGGCTGGGGCAGGGTGCTGCCCGAGGAGAGAGACTCTGTCTACTTGGCCTTGGCCAATGCATTTCTGTCACCTGCCCATCCGGGGAGGTCACAGCATCCCCATGGCACCGTCTCCCCTGGGCTGGATGGCTCTGGGCCTCCCCAGGAGGTGAGAGGAGAGACTGCCCTCATGATGCCCCCCTCCCAGCTCTGCTTCCAGCCACCAGCACAGACTGTGTCCCTGCTGTCCCCTGCCCAGCATGCAGGAGAGTGTCTCCTCCTGTTCTCAGATGCCCCGAGAAGAGTAGCCGGGGGCGCCAGAGGGGGTTTGGGGTGCAGGAGCCCGGGGGTGGGGGAACGGAGCCCACCAGCCCGGCCTGCGCACCCTGGAGTTGTTGCGGGGAGCAGTGCCCACCTCCCGCTCAGACTCAGAGCCCGCACAGCCTCTCTCAGACCTATGGGCACCATCGGCACCCTCGGGCGGCTCCTTTATGGCTGGGGGGAGAGCAGCCTGTCTGGCGGGTCAGGGTGGAATTTCCAGCTGCAGCTCAGCCCCTGCCTGGCCGCCTCAGCCTGCCCGCCCCGCCTGCCCCGGCCTGAGCTCCCAGGGGCCCGGCCATAAGGTAAACATCGCCACAGCCTGCGCAGCACGGCCGCGGGAACCTCATCTCTGGCCCGTGCAGACCCCAGAGTGAGTTCAAACCCCAGGTCCCACGAACACGATGCTACCTCTTGGGGCCTCGGGCTCCCCACAGCGTGGCCAGGGTTGGGCAGACAGGATATAAAGGAAGTGACGGTGTGTGTCACGCTTGGGAATGGGGCCGGGACTGTCATTGGTACCCCGCTCGAGCTCTGGTTGCTCCCAAAGCCCTAAGATGTACGGTGTGGTCTCCTAACCTGCAAGGATGTCCCTCATCGGGTGAGTGTCAGCTCGGGCGGCAGGACCCTCCTAAGCCCTCGCCACTCAGCACACAGCCTCCCAGCAGCCACCCCCATGCCCCTGGCCATCACCCGGGAGTGGCCCGGAGCCCGGGCAGTTCCTCAGAGCAAGTTAAGGAGCCCCACCTACCCAGCACACCCCAGACAGCCCTGTTCAGCTGGTTCCGCAGCCAGGCCACCGCAGGACAAGGGACCTCACTCTGTCCTCTGGCCGACACTTCCAGAGCTCTGATGCTTGACCTCTCAGGTGCACAGAGCCTGCTGAGAGCCAGACTCCACGGTCCAGTCTCCCTCGGGCAGCTCTAGAAGCCCCAGCGGTCCCAACCTATGGCTTCTCCTAGAGCCACGGGGTCTGCTCCCCTCAGTCAGGGACACCCCCCAGTCCCACGTCCAGAGTGTCCACCACCCCAGCTCCCAAGAGCCCGGAGCATCATGCCCCTGCCATGCTCCGTGTGCATGAACCCCACATCAGGCCGGCTCCCACCATGGGGTGTCACCACGTGCTAGCCCCTGGCCTGGAGGTGGGGAGCGGTCATTCCTCCCAGCAGAGGCTACTGGCAGGGGCATGTGGGGGTTCCCAGGTCGGGGCTGTTCTCAGAGTGCTGCTGCAAACACTTGTGGGCATGTCTTCAGTGCAAACTGAAATTCAAATGAGACAGCGCTCCCTTGGACAGCCACAGCAAGGACTCAGGCCCAGCCTGCAGGGATGGGGCCGCAAGCAGGTGTGAGCAGAGGCCTTCGGGGGCCCGCACCGCCGCTGGGCTGAGAGCAAGTCCTTACAAAAGAGGGTAGCTTGGGCCCCGGCAGGCATGGCAGGTGAGGTCTGGGTGAACGTAGGAAGCAACCAACAGTCACTGCTGACCGGTGGGTGCAGGATGCCAGCAGGCAAGCGGCCAGAGGGCTAGGAGCTCAGCCACCTGTTGGCGGGACCCAGCAGACCCCAGGGCTCCTCCAGCCGAGGACGAGAAGGGGCCACCTCCCCCGCCGGTGGTGACGTCAGAGAGGAAGAATGTAGGCTCCGGCCCCAGGTGGGCCAGGACAAACACCACTCTGTCCTTTGAGAGACTCAGAGCATGGGCCCCGCAGTGGGGACAGAGGGCTTCAGCTCAGCCTCGGTCAACGCAGGCCAGGGTCAGCGTGAGCACCATGATTACTCAGACCCGAGGTGAACATGGGAGAAGGAGAGCTGGGGCCTCAGCACCACACACCACACATAGAGCACACGAATGTGTACACACTCACACCACACCTGCGTGATACACACACACATAGTGCATGCACGCCGCCCGAGTGAAGGACAGCCCAGGGCAAGGGTCTGGGCGTGGTGGCCGGCGCACACCCCAGCCATGGCAGCGCCCCCTCCTCTCAAGGAGCCGGGACAGAGACTTCCCCAAAAGGGCTCTGCGTGTGGCAAGCAGCTCAGGTTAACAGAGCATGCCATGGGTGCTGGAGTCACTGAAGGCCTGGCCCAGCCTTCTGACCTGTGGCCCAGCCTGCCAGGCCTGGGACCAATCTGTGGCCACAGGGGCAGTGGCAGGGGAGGGGAGGTGGGAAGGGAGTGGGGACCCACAGCCCTGTGAGCTCACTGCTCCCAACTGCCTGCTTGCCCGAGACCTCTCCAGGCTGGCAGAGTCTCAGAAAGGCCTGGAAGGGAGTGCCCAGGCCCCAGGCATCCAGGCCCCTTAATTCCAGTCTCAGGCGGTGGACCTCAGGGTGTGTATGACCCAAGTAGGTGCCTCTGAGGACCTGTGGGGAGGGGGGGGAAGGGGTCAGCAATCAGTGGCCTCTCTGAAGAGGGGTTCCTGCCCCCCTCCTTGGAGCCCTGCAGCCTCTGAATATGGGGCCCACTTCCTTGAGCAGATGAGGCTGGTGTGTGAGATCTGTGTCTGCACAGGCATCCATATGGGGCCCCAGAGCCCACAGACCCTTCCCAGGCCAGCATGACCTCTCCCCACTTCCTCCTCCCCAGGCTGGGAACAGAGGGGCAGTAGAGGCCGAGAGGAGCCTCAGAGGGGTCTGGGCCAGAGCTGCAGGGAGCCATGGAGAGCTTCACAGAGTCACTAAACAAGCTGAAGGATGTCCACGAGAACGAGGTCCGAGGTGAGTGTCATGGGGCCATGGGGGCAGGTGTCCATAGCCCTTACCTGGGCCCGGTCCTACAGGTCACCTCCAATTCTTGCCAGACCTGGGGACCCTGCCTTCCAGGCTCAGACAGGGAGTCCTAACCCAGAGCCCAGAACTGCCACGTAGCCAGGCGCTCAACTGCAGATTGGCATCCCTGAGTGTGGCCCTGGAGGGTCTTCTCCCAAAGGGTGCGCTGACAGCAGAGCAGAAATAAAAAGCCACGCCCCAGCAGAGAGCCAGAAGCTTTGGCTGAGATGGGCCCCTCGCCCAGGGTGGGGCAGTGGGGTGCTCGGTTGCCCACCTCTAGGAATGGGAGCTCATGGCTCTGGAGGCCTGTTCAGAGCATTCCAGGGTTTTGAGCTGAAATCCCTCTGCTTCCCTACAGGACCCCCAAGCCAAGCTCCGCCACAGCCCACACAGCTGTGCATTCCACCCCCTAACCACAGGGCTGGAGCCACCCCACTCCCCTCACTCTAGAGCCAGCCAAACCCTCCCAAGACCTCTCCCCAGCACTGACACACCATCCTGAGGGCCCAAAGGGCCTGGATCTCTTCCCTAGCGATGCAGCGATGTGGGGCTGTATGGGCTAGCAGGCCCGAGTCCGAGTGCAACCAAGTGGCAAAGAGGCAACCTCTTGCTGAGGTTTCCCCAAAGAGCCTGCTTTATCTCAACCCTGCTGTGCCCCCCCCCCCAAAAAAACACACCTCCGGGACATGGCCCGGTGGCCGGTCACTCCCAGCATCAGGGTCCCTCCCAACCTCCAGGCAGAAACCAGAGCCAGACTGCAAGGGGTCCCAGGCAGCCATGGGACTGGGTGGAAGCTGCCAGGGGGAATGCAGCGGGAGCCCCTCAGGTGGGGTGGCCTTGGGGCGTCTGTGAAGGGGTCCAGGCAGGCAGCGGGGCTCTGTGAAGAGCCCTGCCAGACAGCCAGGGACAGGAGGTGCCCCGGGCTCTGCTGTGGGACCGGGCCTGACCCCCACCCCTTCCCTGGCTCCTCCAGGCCTGCAGAATAAGCTTCTGGAGCTGAACTCGGAGAGATGCCGGTGAGTCCGGACAGACCCTGGCCCAGCGGGAAAGACAGTGGCCACAGCCCAGGGCACTAATCCTGCCATCACCCAGTGATGCAGAAGGGGAAACTGAGGCTCAGTGTGGGGGGTGGGGGTGATCACTGGCCCGAGGCCATGCCTCCAGTAGCAGGTGGAGCCAGGAATGGAACCTCCAGGCCCACCCAAGTGAACGGGGACTCTCCAGGGGGTGGGCACCGGGGCTACCAACAGTGATCAATAGGAACGCTCCTTGGGAGACCCCACGGCCTGTGGGGTGGCCCCTCACTCCCCATTTCACTTACGGGGCCGCAGTTCCATAGCGCTATGAGTGGCGTGTGGACCCGGCCGGTCACGCTCACGACTAGGCTGCTGCGTTCCGCACAGCCCTTGCCAGGAAGTCCCCACAGCAGGCACACCCAGCAGGCCCCGGCCCGGGACCTACTCCGGCGGGCGAGGCCAGCCCGGATGCAGCGTGGGGCTCCCAGGCAGAGCAGAACACCCACCTTGGCTCGTCCCCACAGGGACGCCCAGAGGTTGGAGGAGCTCTGCGCCAAGAACCATCAGCTCAGGGAGCAGCAGAAGGCGCTGAAGGAGAACGTGCGGGTGCTGGAGAACAGGTGAGCTCTGGATTGGAGGGGGAGGCGGAGCTCGGGAAGCTCTGGGGCAAACTGAACCAGGCAGGGGTTTCCCCCCGCGCCCCCCACGGGACTCTCAGAGCCTCAGGTCAACTGCATTTGCGAGGCTCCTTCCCAAACTCAGCGCAATATGGTGCACTTAGCCCACAGGGTAGGGGTGGGGTGGGGCTTCCACCGTTTGGGAATGGCAGGGGCACATCTCGGGAGCAGGCGCTGAGGGTCCCAGCCCCTCTGTGGGCCTCAGTCTCCCTCCTCAGAGTGGCCTCTCACCCCCCTGCCCCGCAGGCTGCGGGCCGGCCTGTGTGACCGCTGCATGGTCACCCAGGAGCTGGCTAGGAAGAAGCAGCAGGAGTTCGAAAACTCCCTCCTCCAAAACCTACAGCACGTCTTCATCCTCAGTGAGCCCCGCCCCCTGTCACCCTGCACCTCGGTGTCCCCTCCTGTGGGGGTCCAGTGACCCCCAGGACCTGCTCAGCCTGACATGGGGTCTCGGGGAAACACAATGGTACAAAGCCCCAGCTGGCCCAAGCATGTCCCTCACTGGTCAGTCACCTGGGCTGGGGGTGCCCCTGCCCTCAGGACCTCAACCCCTCCCCCTGTAAGAAGGGTAGTCCCGCAGAGCCCGGAGGTCCCACCTGCCGACGAGGAGCACAAGCCCCCCTTCCCTTGGGGCTCGCGCACCAGAGACAAGCTTGGTGTCGGAGGTGGGCGGGGGGGCTCCCACCACCTTTTACGGCCTCCGGGCTCAGCAGCCTCACCCATTCACTCATGCCGCCACCACCAGCAAGCCCCGGGCCAAGTGCTGGCGGCCGCCTGGGGACAGGTCACGGAGGGGGACCTCCCTGCCCCTGCCCCGCCTCCCCTCCCCTGGTCCTTCACTAATCAGAGCCTTTTGCAGCCAACGAGTTGAACCGGCTGCAGCTGGAGAACGAGACATTGAAAGAGGAAGTAAAGCGGCTTCGGGGCCCGCGGTGAGTGGGGAGGGCGAACACCCTCAGTCGCCAAGACCCTCCCCACGGCCGGCCCCTGGCACATGGCGCCGAGAGCAGGGCACAGAACCATGGGGGTGGGGGCCCCAGCTCCGCTGCGGCTGACACCCGAGAACCCCCTGAGGACACTGGTATTTGCGAGAATCCAGCCCTGCAGCATGAGCCACTGATGGAGCCCCGGGCAACGTCCAGAGAGGGCTCTTTCCTGGTCACCCCAGGGTCCCCGCAGGGCTGGCCTGGCCCCCAGGAGGGTGCCCTGGCCCTTGTGATTGTCTCTGGGGGTGCTGCCCTCGCTCACCCTCCCTGTCTCTGCCTCCCCTCTGGAGTCAGGCTCAAGCCCCAATACAGGGAGGGTGCCTCAGACCCCCCCTCACCCCTACTACTCCCCTCCCCGGGGGCTCGGAAGGCCATCGCGGAGAAGATGCTGGGAGGCCACGAGGAGGCCGAGGACGACCATCCAGGTGCGAGTCCCCAGAGAGAAGGTGCTCTGAGGGACAAGAGACCAGAAAGCCGGGGCCCTGCAGGATCACAGAGGCCTCTGGCCCGGGGCAGGGGGCGGGGCAGGGGGCTGAGCCGCCCACCCCTCTGAGGGCCTCCCAATCTGCCCTGCTCACTGCTTCTCCTCCCACAGAAAAGTCTGTGGGGTACAGGACATCTCCAGTCGCCAGAATCTCCCCGAGTGCCAGCCTGCCGGAGACGCGGGCCCCGGACACGGTGAGGACCCCCTTCTGCCGGGCAGCCCCAGGTGGGAGGCGGGCAGCCCAGGTCTATGCCAGCTCACCTGTCCTCTGTGCCGTGCAGGGACCACTGGGTGGCGGCGAGGCTCAGAGGGGGTGGGTGACCTGCCCGAAGTCAACAGAGAACAGGGCAGAGGGCCGCGCTGACCAGTCCACCCCGTGCAGAGCCCCCAGCGAATCTCCAACCAGCTGCACGGGACCATCGCCGTGGTGCGGCCGGGCTCCCAGGCCTGCTCTGCTGACCAGGGCTCCACCAACAGGACACCCCCACTGCCACTGACCAGGAGCAGCCCGCCCAGCCCACCCTATGAGCCCAGCCTCCCACTGGACAGGTGAGGCCCCACCCACTGCCACCACCAGGGGCAGCTCCAACTGAGCACCCAGTCTCCAGATCTGGTCTCACCTTTCCAGAGGTGGCAGGACAGAGGTCGGGGGGTGTGGGAGCAGCAATGGGGACTGAGGCTAGTGAACCCCTCTCAGAAGTTGTCTAAGACCATCCTCCCTGTCTGAGAGCATCGTACGCAGGTGGCCGGGGACAGAGCCGGTAGCTCAGGCCCCGAACAGAGAAAGATCTCCATGTGCAGGTCCCTCCTCAGAGCCCCAGGCTCCAGGTCACCTCTGGCCCCTCCACAACCGTCCACGTGGGCCTACCCCTCTCCACGACCTGCCCTGTGACCTGGGGCAACTCGCCTGTGGGCCCCAGACCCTCCCCTGTGAAGTGGGGGCTAACCCAGGGCCACAGGAGTTGGGTTTCTCCTCACCCTGCAGCTTTCTGCGGGCCTCCCGGCCCCCCACCATGGCCTATGAGTCCCTGAAGCGCTCCCTCCAGGCTGACCACCTCTGCCTCCTGAACCATCACCTGTCTCTGCACCTTCAGAGCCCCCACTGCAGCCCCCAAGTCCCCGCCACAGTCCCCCATGGCCCCCAGCCCCAGGGCCCGAAGGCTGGGGAGGCAGAGGCCTGGGATGAGCCAGTGGGCCTGCTGGGGCTGCCGGGGGCCCTGGTGGACGTGCGAGACCCTCGGCTAAAAGGAGCGTTGCACCTGCTCCTGGCCCAGCAGCTGCGGGCACAGGGGCGGGTGGGCAGTGCCAGGCTGAGGGGCCCGCCCACTCCAGGGGGGACCCCACCCTCCCCACCAGTCAGCTCTGACTCGGAAGACCCCCAAGGTGAGGCGGCCGGGGCAGCCCTGTCTGGAGGGGGGCACATACAGCCCACAGGCCCAGGCAGCCCCAGGAGAAAGGAAGACACGGCCACACGAGACTATGTCCCAGACAAGCCCTTGGACCTCTCCGAGCGGGGCCGGGGCCAGGGCCGGCATGCCGCCAAGCCTCCGGGCCGGCCGGGGTCCCTCAGCCCCCCGAGTGCTCACACTCCCAGCCTGGCGCCACCTCAGGGAGTGGAGCCACCCGCCCGGTCTGGACCCCGGGGACTCAGCAACGGTACCAAGGAAGCCAGAGCTCCAGAGCCAGAAGGGTCTGCCGCTCCTGCGGTAAGGGGCCCACCCCTGCTCTTGGCCTCCACATGCCCCTAGCCCAGGCCAGCATCCCGCCAGGGTCCTGGCTGTGCTTCCCTCTGCGCCATCAGGCCGGTCCCTGGGAGAAAGCCTGATCTCGCACTAGAGGAGAGATGGCTAGCCCTCCAGCGGCGGCCCGGGGCTGAGCCAGAGTCTCATGGCCTTTCCCAACACTGGGTTGGGGACAGGGCAGTTGCCTCAGGTGAATTCAAGCCACTTACTTGTTTCCCCCCAGGATCCCTCCCAACCTCTAACAGGGCCCCACCCAAACACGCCCTCTTCAAGTGGGACAGGAGCTGAGGGGAAAGGGAAGCCAAAATCTACCCCCAACCCACACAGGCATGATGCTGATGGCCCCCCAGGTAAGGGTGAGTACCTGGGGTCCTGAGAACCCAGGAAGTGGTGCCATAGTGGGAAGGGAGGGGCAGTGGTCAGCATCAGCTGTGGGGGGACCTGTCTTAGGACCCAGCTCAGTCCCCTGGCTGCCCGGCCAAACCCTGGGTCTAGGGCTTGGCACCCCAGCTACAGACCCAGAGAAGAGGTGGGGGGCCAGGGCAGGCACATCTCTGATCATAGGCAGTGAAGGGAAGAGCATCCTGGCAATTAGGGCTTCAGGGCAGGTAGTGAGCTCCCCGTCACAGAGCGACCAAGCCTGGGACAGCCCGGCTGGCGGGGTCATTGCAGAAGGTAAGGGAGACACTGAGGTACAGTCCCTCTGTGCCTCAGTTTCCTTCAGTTGTCACTCCTAGTCTGGCCCATTAGAAAGGTCTATGCTTCTGCTAGGCTCCAGGGCCCCCAGCCTGACCTGACCCACACCCTGCGTCCTGCAGAACTCAGCAAGGCCCAAGTGCAGGGGCTGGAGTCAGACGAGCTGAACGAGTTGGACCCCTCGGACGAGGTGGGTCCCCGGCCACACACTCTGGTGGGGCCACTGAGCCAGGGCTGCCCCAGGCTTGGGGGAAGGTCCTCTCCTGACCACACCCACACCCCTTAGGTGGGCCTGAGCTCCGAGGTGGGGGCCAAGCCGAGCATGCCAGGGGAGGGGTCCAGGTGCTCCTGCACCAAGGAGCGCAGGCAGGGGCTGCCACAGAAGAGGAAGCGGCCCTCCGGCCCATGGTGCAAAGGTACGGCGGCCGGGGCCATGGGGGGCGGGGGGCAGCCAAAACACCATGCCCCCACCCCACCTTTCTGGCTGCTAGGAACCAGAAACCAGCCCTTGAACCTCTCCTGGCACAGACCCCTTAAGAGGAGGGACCCAGGTCAGGACAGCGTGAATTCTGGCTCTTCTCAGCCTCACTGTGCAGCCCGCACCAGTCCCGTCAACCTGAGCCTCAGTTTCCCCCCAGAAAGGGGGGCAATACCAGAGCCAGCGTGAGATTTCCGCGGAATAAGGCTGAGGACAGTGGTTCTCACCGTCCTTGTCATCAGGGCGGAGGGGCCTCTTGGGCCACAAGCAGCCCCCAGGCCTGGGGGCCCTGAAGCCCTGCCACTCTGCCCTTCCCTCGTGGTGGGGGGACTCCTGGACCCCCGTCCACCTTCGAAGAGGAGAAGCAGGAGGGTGCAGCCCTCTGGGTGTGGAGGTGTTTGCTCCGGCTGAGGCACTGGGGGCTGCTCGGATGTTTGCCAAGGGTGGTGCCTGTGGGCTCCTCCCCGCAGGGCAGCGGGCTGGCCTGAGGGGATCAGCGCGACCTTCCGCTTCCTGCTCTGGCCGCAGAGGCAGCTCCGCAGGGCGCCAGGCGCCTGTGAAGGCCTGAGCTCCTAATGGATGCCGCCCCAGTGTTTGTGCAAGCGGGCCCGCGACAGGCAGGCTGGGCTGTGGCCACCACAATATGCCATTGTTGCCGGGAAAGTGACAGTGGCCTGTGTTTGCTCGAGCACACGGTGGAGGAGGCCAGCACACCTGTCTTATTTCAAGCCACTTCCTGCTGGGCATGCTGGGAAACTGTCCTGGTGGCCACAGCCCACAGGGGTGCTGGGGCGTCCCCCCCCGGGAGCCAAGCTCTCCCCGGTCCTCCCCGCTGGGCCAAGACAGGGGGCTCCCAAGCAGGTACCCGGATGCTGCAACACACACACTGCTGGTCAGTGAGAATGGGGCCCTGACCCAGCCTGTGGCTGGCACCACTCAGCGCCAAGGGCAGCGTCCGTGCAGAGGTTCAAGGTGGAGATAACCCGGGTGGAGGTTCAAGGTGGAGATAAACAGTAACCACTGCCTTTGGGGCTCACCATCCTGCCCAGGGATGTTCATCGCTGTTTCACAGCTGGGAAAACCAGCCCTCAGAGAAGTGAGATGACCTGCCCAAGCTCACAGAGCTGGGCCATGGGCTCAGAATTCCTACTTGACTCTTCTGACCCAGAACTTGAGCGCGTTCTGCATCAGAGATGGGCCTAGGGCCCAGCATCTCAGCAGGACCTTCCCGCAAGGGTCTTCCCCTGAACCCCAGGCCCATGGAGGCACCCCGCCAGGGCCTTGGGCACCCTAAGAGCATTTCCCCAGAAGCTCGATTTATCCAAAAGGTCCCAGACCTTCAGCAAGGTATTCGGGCACAGGGTCACACACCTGCAGAGAGCCCACCCTCCCGCCAGGTGCCCACGCTCACCCTTCAATCAGACCAGCCCTGCCTGGGTGTCTCCTGCTTCCAGGAACAAGTCAACTCCGCCAGCGTGGGCTCACAAGTGCTCACTCCCCTCGCCTAAATCGTGTCCACGAGCCCTGGGCAAGAACCCCGCACAGCAGTGAGCGAGAACCGACTGCTGCCAGCCCACTGCTGTGCTCCCGCCTAACTGTGCTCCACTCTCCACAGCCTCCAAGAAGCCGCCACCAGCGAGAAGGAATCCAGGGGAGCCCCTGACAGCACATGAGGGGTCCGGGAGCCCAAGGCACCCTGAGGACAGCAGCCCCTCACCCAGCAACAGCAGCTGGGAGGAGACTTAGCAGGCTGCTCCCAGGGGCACCACAGCCTGCCCGGACATGGCTCCCCACCTGGCCACCAGCCCAGCAGACAGCCCAGCACAGGGCAGGAGGGGACTGGGTCCCGACCCGTGGCCACAGGGGCTGGGAAGGCCGAGAGGGGGTCTTTGGCTGGTCATTTGAACTCCTCCATCTCTACCCGTCTCAGAAATGACCAGCTGGTCCTGCTGCCCCTCCCACACCCTAGCATTTGCTCCCTTGGGAGAAGTAGGGTTCGGGGAGGCAGGGGTGACTCCAGCTGCAGTCCAGCCCAGCCCAGCCCAGCCCCCACCCTGGCTGCTCATAGGCAACCCTTCCTGGGCAGTGCCCCCACCTCTCACCATCGCAAACTCCACCGGCCTCCCTGACTCCCAGGGCCCTGCTGCCTGGCGACACCTTCCCTGCCGGGGCGCGGAGCATGAGCGGTGGTCTCAGGCGCCCCCTCGTGGAGTCCCGCAAACACGCTGGGTGGTGAGGGTGTGGGGCACCCCAGCAGAGGTGGGACACCCAGGGTCAAAGGTGTCAAAGAGGGCATGTTCGGCTGGCAGACTCAGGGGTCAGCTGGGTCTCCACCTGCTTCCGCAAGTGATTTGAGAGACTCTGGGATGCATCCAGGCCTGGGGAACAGAACCAGCCCCGTTTGCAGAGGGGCACCTCTAGGGAGGGCTGCAGAGAAAAGAACAGGAAATGCGTACCAGTCCCCCCACAGAGTCCCCTCCTCACTGGCTACTCCTGAGGCCCAGGCCCCATATCTGCCGCGGACCGCTTGGCCACCTGCAGGGCCCCAGGGCAGCTGGCCCAGGACTGCACCCTTAGCGCTCAGGGATACCCTGCTCCCTCAACCATTCTCACTTCCAGAGGGTGAGTCTCAGAGCACCCGCTGTGAGAGGAGCTTAAGCAGGTTCCCGGGCCCCATCCCAAACCCACTGAATCCGGGTCTTGGGGCCAAACCTGCACATGAAGTTTGAGAAATCTAAGAACTGCCCGATGCAAGGCAAAGGCAGGAGACCGGACAATAACTGGGCTGGGTGAGGCCTGGGGCAAACTGGAAGCACAGGCCGGACCACGGGAACACCACTCCGCCTTGCTCACTGTGGCCGGCCCAGACCCCAAAGGGACTAAGTTCCCAAGAGGGAGGTGTAGGGGTGTGTATGTGCACGTTTGTGTGTAAGTGTGTGTGAAACCTCCTGTTAAAAGTTGCTTTGATTTTCCTGAAATCAAATAAAAGCTGGGTGCTCTATTCACATCTGACTTGCAGGCCAGGGCTGGCTCAGGGGTACCCTGGGCAGTGGAGAAGCCACAGGGGGTGGGGTCCCAGGGAGAGTGCACAACAGACCGGCAAGGAGACCACGTTCCTCCTGGGGTCCCCCAACACCCTCAAAACGTCACTCAGTGCCAACTGGCAAAGGACAAACAACCCTCCAGGGCCCGGCTCTGTCACCACGCTGCAGACAAGCACGGATGCGGGGCCGAGAAGCAAGAGCAGACGACACTCCTCCGTTACTCTGCCCCTCCGTGACCCCCTGGGCACAGCACTTTACAGCCCTGGCCTCACTCCTCCCTTGCCAGCGCCCCACGAGGCACACACAGCTAACACCCCCACTCTACAGACAGAGGAGCTGAAGCTCAGGGAGGGTAAGTAACTCACCTAAGGTCACCCAGCTGGCAGGTGGCCGAAGAGGCTGAAGCTGGAGCTGAGGCTCTTAGTTCCCTGCTCCCTGGGCATCGGCAGGCAGCAGTGGCAGAGGGACTCCCCAAGAGGGGCCTTCAGGGTGCAGTGCTCCTGCCCATGAGCACCTGGAGGCACGTGTTCAAGCCCCACTTTCTACCTGATGGGAAACTGTCCACTCCCTCCCAGGCATGGGAGAGGCTTTGAAGACCAATTTGGAAGGGCAGAGGGAAGAGGAAAGAGGTCAGGCTGGACACTGGCTGACCCTACGCATGGTGGCAAATGAAGATCAGTAGGAGGGGACATGGCCACTGTGAAGGGGGGTATGGGGTTCGAGAGGGGAGCCGGGCCATGCAGTAGGCCTCACTTGAGACAGGAAGCTCTCTCTCATGGTGTCTGCCCTGCCCCACCCCACGCCCTCTCCAGCATGGGCACAGAATACACCCTGGGTAACGTTGTGTGCTGAGCAGCTACACACAGAAGCACTCTCTGAGCTGTGTGGGCGAACCCACCAGCAAGTGCCCAGATCTGCAGCCTGGGGATGCCCCGTCACGGAGCCAGCTCAATCCTGACAGCACCCTGAAGTCATTGTCCCAGGCAGAAAGCTGGACAGACCAGAAGAGTGGCCTAGAGGTGGCGGCAGGACCCTGTCCCCGCAAAGACACAGGTGGGCTCCTGGGGGCTCTACAAGGCAGCACCTGAGCATGGGGCCACCTGCTCTGAAGTCAGGGGCACCTGGGTACAGAAGAGGAAAATGAGGCCTAGGCACCACCAAGGCTCAAAGTCACTTTGCTGCTGAGGGAAGTGCAAGACCCTGCCTGGGGCTGAAGGCCTAGCACTGCCCCGACCTGCCAGTGATTCCAGACAGGTGCCTTCTTCGGTCGGTGAGGGAAGGCGGGTGGCACCACCCACCATTCCAGGGAGTCTTGGGGGCTCCTCGAGGGGATGGCCCTTTGCAACCTGAACGCCCCCCCAAGAGGGCAGGCGGCACGGCTTCAGCCCCCCGCCCCGCACCCCAGCCGCTAGCACTGACCCACACCCCACAGGAGACGTGCGCTGGAGCCTAAAGACTCAGGCTGCACGGAGGCTGACCATGAACGCCGCAGCCCCGCAAGGAGAACCGGGCGCCGGCGCCCCCGTAGCCGCTGCTTCCGAGGCGGGGATTCGAACACGGGCCAGCGCCTCCGCTGGGCCCCCGGCCAGGCCCCGCGGGGCACAGTGTCCCGCGGGCGCCGGGCTCCCGCTCACTCGGGCGGCAGCCGAACCGCCTGTAGGACCCAGGGGAGCCGCCCCGGATCGCCGGGGCCCGCCCACGGCACCGCGCGGGCCAATGGGTAGGCGTGACGGCAAGACATTTGCATGTGGGCGAGCCTCGGCCAATGGGCGGCGTGCGCGGGCGCGTGCGCGCAGGCGGGGCGGCGGCGGCGGCCGGCCGGCGGGCTCAGTCCGAGGATGGCCGCGGCCGCGGCGGGTGGAGCCGCGGGCCCGGCCCCCGGCTCCGGCCCCGC